TTTACAACGAGATTAAGATTTCAGCTGTTAATGAAGTCATAATTATGGGTGATTATAATATTAGGCATATAGATTGGGAAATGTTAAGAGTTATAATTGTTATAGTTTTCATGCTATAACTTTTAAATTAGTAAGCGAATGTTTACAAAATTTATCAGTAAACATTACAATGCTTTCATACTCAAAATATCAACTTTTTTATAAAGTCTTGAGGTTTATAAAGCAATGTTTTTCTCATGTCTTTTTTTTTTCTTTTTGCATGTTGCCTATCTATCATGCAATGTAATATTCTTTTTAAGATTAAAAACACTTTTATGTATCAGAAAATTTTGAAATTTCACATACAAAATCTTTATAATGTTCAAATAGTTATCAAACGTTTCTCAAGAAAAAACTTTATTTTATCTGTTATTTTCAGTACTGGTTCGATAGATTTGACCAATCTCACAACCACCATAACAAAATTAGGAAATAAATATAAATTATGCCTCTTTCAATCTAGAATGAACACAGATTGTAACATGAAAACATGAATGTTTAGATTAAATAGCTTAAATCTCATAAAATTATACATTTATATATATTTATTATTTTTATTATATTGACCTTTCAGCCATGCCTGGCTAACAATACAGAAGTTACAATTATGAGGCTCACTTGCAATCATGTTATCATATCAAATAATATAAACTGACCTTTGGTCTGTGCAAAGTAACTTGTCTTGGCTATGCTTTTGTAGACTAGTATTTTGTAAAATACAGTCAAATGTCAAGTAAAGCAAACAATTATCTCTTCTAGTTACGATCTTTGTACTCGGTTGCTGCTTGAGTAGGTTGCTAAGCTTTTAAAAAAATTGCACGTGGAGGATATGAAACAAAATATTTTTTTAGGTTTTATATATACATTTGAATAACTAAAAAATCATAAAGTAGTACATTAATATCATAGAATTCCACTATAATTTATCAAGCTTAGTAACTAAACTGTATTTGAGACTAAAGAAAAT